GGGGGGGGGGGGGGGGGGGGGGGGGGGTCTAACCCCCTAAACCCCCCCTTCCCTACGCCGCTGTCCCTCGTTTCCTCATGGAGATGGCTCTGAAAAGCCCTTATGCGCTCCGCGTTATCGAAGTCCTCGAAGACCTACGTGCCCGAATGGTGTCGCCCCCTCGTAAACCTCTCGAGCAAATACGGTAGCCGTGTGTCGACATTAATTATTTTTGCGGGCCGCTTTTGGACTCTTTCCACCTTCGTTACGTTCCTTTCGATTGCGAGTCGGGAAAGCCCACTCAATTTTTTTGTTCCTGTCATCTGCCATCCGGAGTAGAGAGCACGTGCTCCCGAGGATTCCGTTGCCCACTGCAGGAGAAACGGAAGCAAGAATTAAAACACGAATGCTATACGAGGGGCGTTCGATGAGTTTCAAGAATTTCTATTTTTCGTACAAGGGATCGATTTTATTTCCTTTCCCCGAAATTCTACAACACCTTAGGATCGTTTAAAGTGAGCACCATCCAAATCGATGCACAGCTCCATCCTGTAGAACCATTTCCTAAAGCATTCCCTCGGGGTGTCTTCACTGAAGCCTTCCAAGAAGGAAGGAAAGTTGTCAATTTGGCAAGGTGCGGTGGGGTATTGTCACGGTGCAATTTCCAGTGACGCAACCCACTTTTGGGGCGTTTTTAAAGAGCTTCAACAAGTTTTGGCAGGCACTTACCATTTGGCAATTACTATTTCACCTTCATCGAGGGACACAACAGTCAGGATTTGATTTCTGCAGGAAAAAATGGCGACCAAGACCTTTCCAACAGTTCTTTCACGACGCAGTTTCGATGGAATGTCTTCTCCATCAAAGACCCATCGGCGGCTCTGGTTCTCGGTTTCAAGGACATAAAATTAGATCCAAGTTTCATCACCTGTGACAATGTTTCCGACATCTTTTGAGTCCCCTCTGCTGAATTCACCCAGCATTTTGTGACGAAATTCGACACGAGCCTGTTTTTGGGTGGCTGACAGCGCATGGGAGATCCATCGAGCACTAAATTTCCTGGCTCTAAGGCGCTCATGGAGAATTTTATGTACCGTCCCTTCAGACACCCCAATGGTCTCAGAGACTTAATTTAGCTTGCTGTTGCACAGGGATGCTGGATCACCCGGGGCGAAAGAAGCGCAAAATCATTGCACGCTTGACTCGAAGGTTCTAATTCAGGTTCCTGGTCGTGTCCCCTTTTTTGATCACCACGAATCTCCATTATGGACAAAATACTTAATAATATTCTTATTAACCAGTGAATCCCTGTTGGAAAAAGGGCAATCATGGGATCAGTCCAAGATATAGGGGTGGGGCCAATTCTTGAAACTCGATGAACGTCCCTCGTATTTCCGCTGTAAATGTTCCCTCGCTCTCTTCTCGGTCGATGAGCAATCGGCTTGCTTCGTATTTTCTCTGGTAAAAATGTGAGACAATTTTAAAATTATTTCTTAGCATATCATTATCAACTACTATTTTAGTACCTGGTTTACTAAGCCAGGCTTAGGATTATTTTGGTACTCAGATGGCTGAAAATTCTGTAATTCAGTATAATTATAAAAACTTATATGCGGCCTTCACGGGACCTAAAAGCCTCACTTGCGGCCCGCAGTAAAACAAAGGTTGCTCGTCAATGCTCTTAACCAGTCGCCCTAAACCAGTGCTTCTCAACTTTCTATACCTTGCAGATTCCCCTCGGAATAGAGGAGAACTGCGATGTTCCCCTTCGTTATCGCGTAAATTTATAGGCTTCTAAATGTAATGCATGTCATTTTGAAGACAGTATTTTTAAAGCAGGATGAAAAGTAAACACCTGTAATCATAATTTTAATTTTTCGTTCGGTCCACGATTTATTTTTGGCCTGGGCATACCCAGCAAACAGAGATATGTTAATGCAACGTAGGAAATGTGTTATTTGAGTGTTTCGGCGTTCGAGTGTTCTTCCACGACACACGATGAACATCGGAATAACGTTAAAATATTCTTTTGGGAGCGCCGAAAGTAAAGGTAGGCACGAGAGCGTCGAAACGATGCCTAGGCAACGTTCCACATTCGACACTTCAACGTTCGTGCGTAAGCATCGGACGAACGCTAAGGAAGCATCGAGACGAATCGTGAATCCGCATGTCCCTCTTCCAGATTGCTTTGGCACCAATTTTGTTAACTGCGCGGATATATAGCTAAATATGATTTATTCCAGTAGGGAATGCATAAAAATAGTAATCAATGGAGCACAGCTATCCAATATAAATGCACATACACATATCCCAGTGATACTCTGGTTCACGGATGAGCAGGTTTTTGGCGCTCGGTTACGATGCCGTTTCGTCTCCGATATTCCATTCTTGACGTTTCTGAAGGACCTCAGTCGAGCCTTCAAGAGACGTTTTCTTCATGCACGTCTTTGGCCACTCGATCACGAGTCCGCAATCTGGCAGCGGCTCGGACGAAGGCTCGAACGACCGAAGCGAGAAGATGCGGATTTAGCCGCTAAAGCGAGTCCATACCTGATGCAACTTCGATCAGTCCCCCATAATTTCCATGCGGTACTCCACCTTTCCCACAGACACCACGGGGGAAGACGTTTGATTTGTTGAAGAAATGAGTGGATTCGGTGACCCAGTCCCAGGAGTCTCCAGGAAACTCGAAGAATGGAAGTCGGATCCTTCAACTTCCCAGTTCAATCCACGGAGAGCCTCGAAGAGTGGGGGATGACAGTGCCAATCCACGTAATAAGCGGTCTCAAGTGTGGGGTCGTGCCTACAGGGAGTCCCGTAAGTCCCGTGCGGTTATGGGAGGCGGTGAAAGAAAAGCAGGGGAAAGTGTCCGTATCGTTACTACGTGTGGCAATAATGTGCTTTCGTGCGCAGTGCATACGGAAAAAAGAACTGCTAAACCATTATTAATTTTTTCTCACGATGGAAAACGGAAAATACGTTCGATTACTTTTATTCCAACCGTACGGGACTCGTGGGCCTCCCTGTACATCCTCGAGTGGAGATCGATTCGGATGTGATGGATTTTTCGACCAGATGGAGCAGGATCATTCTTGAACTCGGGAGCAGGATCATTCTTGAAAAGGAACGTTCGTCGATCGCTCCCGTACTACTCCAGCGAGTTTAATAACGTTATAAACGAACGTTCGTCCGACGCTCTCGGGTTTAACGTTGCTTTGAGCGCATCTATCAATAAAAGGGGCATTTCGACGCCGTGCTAACGTTCGTCGTAATGCTACGACAGCGTTAGAAGTGTTCGTATAGGTGCACCGATGCGACGTCTCCGTAGTGAGTTTCGCGAGTGAAATCGCAAGGCGATCGAAATCCTCGAGGAACGAGGCTGGTCTCTTCGCGCATCAGGTCGTACATCGCCTCATCCCTATGGAATCTCTAGAATCTCGCCGACTGCAACTCGTCTCAAGTTCGTTTCGTCGACTCGCAGTTCACCGATCGTTCGATTCGAATGTTCGAACTCGCCGAACGACATGATTGACCTCAGAGAGAGGCAGAAAATGATTCATGTCGACTCGAGTACGATGGAATTAGAATTCCACCCGAGTTCAACTGAGTTTTCACGAGCTTAAGGGCCCTAGTAAGCCGTTTTGGGAATAATTCGGCACCCGTGCACACAGCAAAAATTGCTAGTAATCTTTCATCGAGTCAGTGAGTCGAGTACATGGTGAGTCTACTCGGTAGGATACAATTCAGTTAACATTCGAGTTGAACAATCTAATTGCGAGAATTGCGTGCTTAGACTCGAAGAGGAAAAGGAAACCGACGTCATCGATCACCGGCAACGGGTCAACGTTTCCTCGTGGGGGACAGATGAGATCGGGCCAGCAGGACAAACCAGTCTTATCATCTGGGGCAGAATCACGGTGCTACCTGAAATTGCTTCTCGTTCAGATCCCACTGGCTCGTGTCTTCTTCAGACGGACGGAGATGATGATGGATACTAGGTCAAATAGGCTTAAATACTACTGCTTCCATGAAGCAGACGGAAAGAGGAAAAACATCGCATCGATGGCCAAATCTGGTTTTTAGACTCGCCCTAAGTAGGCAGAGAACCGGCGAATATACTGTATGAAACGGGACACTTGCGTCCTTGCGAAAGGCTTCAAGGATCTGGCACCGAGAACAAAAGGGTATAGTATTCAGCCGGAGCCGAATACTATACCCTTTTGTTACGAATACGAATGTAGAAAGTGGGGTAAGTTCTGACGCGGGCATGATCGCGCCACACCGATGAGTCAACTTTTGCTTTGGACCCAGGGATACAAACTCCGTCTCGTCGGAAAGAACCTCTGAAAGGAGCAGACGGGAGAAGACGGAGGAAATTTGTATCGCGGCTGGACGGGGCAAGCCCTTGGGGGGGGGGGGCAAGCCCTTGGGAGCAAGCAGTCATAAAGTCAGCCTTACGCGTCCCGTTTCGTCCGTTCGACAGTCCAACCGGTGAGGAGTGAAATGGGACCGTCGAGCATTGATTGTACGACTTCGTGGTCCTGATGCGGGATGCCTCCGCATCTCGGGAGGAAAAATCCTTAGTTTACTTATCCTTGATAAAAAAAGAAAGAATTTCGCTTAGCAAGGCGGGAGCCTCATGTGTCATCCCACTGACAAAGGTCATCGATGGAATTGCGTGGACAACAGACGTCCATCTTATCGTCTCTAAGCGTGGGTAGGGGAGTAGCAGGATTCACACACTTAGAGGTTTGTTATTGGCTAGCACGAGCCACGTGCTTGGGGAAACAAGGGATCCACAAGGGTTCAGGGATCGCACCAAAAGTTGTTTCCTGCTTCTCACGAGAAAGCGTGTCCACGATTTCTCGGAGACGAAACGCAGTTTCTCCATAGCGCATGCAGACATAGATGAAGACAGTCGATTACATAAGGAAATACCGTACGAGGCAGAGACGAAGGGAAGCTGCTGATGTCGGGAAGGTCGAGCAGTTTACAGCGGGTCCTCCCTGCGTAGCTGATAAGATAAGAGGAAAAGGAATAGGATGGGAGAGCGTAGTAGAGGCTCAATTGCGCTTCGTTTGCCATGGCGGGAGTCACCGTTCTTTTAGTTGGCATTCTTCTCGTATTCATCATCCAAGATCTCATTCAGAAGATCCTACGATGGAGGAAAATGCCTCCAGGTACGTCAACTGACTCCTTCCTACGCGTGTACGAACATCACCTCATCGGCCATCGAGGCTGATGGATCTCATCGGCATATCAGGTGCATCATCCGAGTCGCATTTAGGTTCTTGGTTCACCGATTCTCGCCGATTCCATGCCCTCGTCGTCACCGAAGACGTCGTTATTGTGTACCTCCGCGAGAAAATACAGTGCTTTCTTCAATAGAGTCACAAGGAATATTTAAATATTAATATGAATACCAATCCTGGAACCTCAGTTGAATCGCGAATAGGAAACATGGGACTATTCGAACGCGAATGTCACTCGATCACTCTTGGAATATTTGCAAATTTCTGAATTGATATTCCATACCTTGATGAATGCAATGTACAAGGCTACAAAAATTGTAGCAAGCAAAGAGAGCGGTATACGCAGGGTTTTGGGTTCAGTGCTGAGGCAGCTGAACGACGACCGGAGAGAGGGGGGAGAGGAGGGAGGAAGAGGGGGAGGGGAGGAGGAAGGAAGAGGGGGAGGGAGAAGAGGAAGGAAGAGGGGAGGGAGAGCTTCCGACGAGGCTAACTGATAGGAAAGGGGAAGGGGGACTGGAGCCCCCTCATTGCAAGCTAAAGATTTCAAGTCATCACTTTCGTTTTCAATATGGAAAGGAGAGAGAAAGAGATATTTTCCCGATAACAATATCGAGCATACAATGGAATACTCGGAATGAATAGTAGCGATGACTATTGCAATGTACCATGAATACCGGGTGATTTGTCGGAATCGAACACTTCGGTGAGTGACCGGACGTACGGATTCGAAGGCTGCCAAACACTAGTATACCATCGGAAAAAAGAGTTGATGGAATCCCCATTCGGATGTAGGGCCGTGGGGGATTCCTCTGTTGGGCTACGCACCCTTCATCGATCGGGAGCAACCGTTGAAGACGTTCCTCGAACTCAAGAAGAAATACGGGAACATATTCACGGTGACGATCGGGAACGTGGAACACGTGATCATCTGCGAGCAGGAAATCGTGAAGGACGCCTTCTCCCGAGTGGAATTCAGCTACAAACCAGAATCCTTTGCTTTCATCTCTGCCGCCGAGGGACATAACGGTTTCCGCTTATTTTCGATCCCGAATAATCTTCCCCTATTCCTTCGATCATATCGAAAAAGGCAAAACTCGCGCACTTTTTTTGCTTCTCTCCTTGCACTCGGTCCGCGAAGGTCTGCTGACGGGACACGGACCGACTTGGAGAGACAATCGTCGTTTCACCTTGAAGACATTGAGGAATTTCGGATTCGGGAAGACGACGATCGACGGGATCATCCAGCACGAAGCCCTCACGACCTGCGACATTTTCCGACGTCACCTGGGGAAACCGTGTGACCTCGATTACACCATCAACGTCGCCGCTCTCAACGTCATCTGGAAACTGACCTCCGGTGAGTAAAATCTCCAGACGTTCATCGGGTCGCAACGAGACGACGACGAATGGGTATGGAATGTGGATCAGATCAGCAATTCAGTCAAGAGGACGAGAAGGCGATGCTTTTCTTCAACCTCTTGGATATGAACCTGAAGGACATCAAAGACCTCGGTGCGTTGCAGTTCTACATCTGGCTCCGACATTTCTGGCCGTCCGTTAAGAGTTCCTTCGGTCGCATCATGGGCAGAATCGATTTCGTCAAGGAGACTTTCAAGGTATTCGGGGATGCACGCACATGCTTCTGATTCCATACAATGGCGTCGACGAGGTTGTTTTCCTTCAAATTTTTTTTTTTTAAGAGCCTCTATATGGAGCACAAGAAGACGTTCGACCCAAACAACATCCGAGATTACATCGACGTTTACCTCAACGAGATGAAAGAACAGGAGGAGAAAGGGGAAAAGAATCCCAACTTCAACGGTAAGAGCATTCTTTTCCGTTTTCCGCAATACTTCGACCATAAAACTGAACCCCTATTCCTATCGTAGAGCTGCAGCTGCTGATCAACATGCAAGATTTGTATTTTGCGGGGAGTGAGACGACGGGGAACACGGTGCGATGGGCCATCCTTCTCCTGACCCTCAATCCCGACGTTCAAAAACGCGCTCAAGAGGAAATCGACTCCGTCATCGGCCGGGACCGGGTCCCCTCGTACGACGACAAGAAAAGGTATGTTCCCTCGTTCCGTTCGGATGTAACGGTCGATGCGAACACGAACGATCTATTCGATCCGTCGATGAACTAGGATGCCGTACGTGGAAGGGATGATCTGCGAGATCCAGCGTCACGCGGACGTGCTACCGTTCGGTCTGCCTCACATGACTTCGCCCGACCACAACGTCACCCTCGCCGGATACACCATCCCCAAGGTATGAGACCGAAAGTTTTAATCGTCTCCCGTTTCCAGCTGCGAACCGGCTTTCTTTATTTTTTTCTGTCACTTGCGCAGAGCACGACGGTGCTGGCTTTCTTGTACGGGATGCATAAAGATGAGAAATTTTGGCCGGAACCCACGAAGTTCGATCCCACTCGATTCCTGGATTCCAACGGGAAACTGCGGACCAAGGTCCCCGGTTTCATGCCTTTCGCTCATGGTAATCACCAGCAAACGTCAAAAACAAAACCTCATTTATTCGAGAAGAGATGGAGTTCATCAGATTCGCGTTTTTCGTTTATTTTCTTGGAAATAGGGAAGAGACAATGTCTGGGAGAGAGTTTGGCGAACATGGAGCTCTTCATCTTCTTAGTGACATACTTGCAGAAATTTACGTTTCGGCTCCCAGACGGAGTGAAGACACTGAGGACTGATCCCTGGTTCATGGAGGTCCTCAGCAAGCCTCATCGGTACAACGTGGTCGTCGAAGAACGTCTTTGACCCTTCATCATAATCATCCCATTTACACGTCTATGTTTACTCAGCTCCACAGAATTGTCTTTCTTTTTTCTTGTGTTTCACGAACGAGGCTAATCAGGACTCAAGATTCCGGGGCCCATAGTTTGATGGTGCGATCAAAGGAGGACGTAACGATGTATGGACCATCTCTTTGGATGTCAACTCCCATCACTTTGTTGTCATGACCTGATAGTTTCTTAATGGGCTGCCACTGTGGGTGACTCCACACCTGAAATTAAAATGAGTAGACATTCTCTCAAAACGAGATATCATTTCGGAACAAAACATGTACACTTGGAAGATCCCCGAGAATAAAGGAAAAATATAGAGAAAGGTACCTTTGCAGTGTTGTCATAAGACGCCGTGACAAGCAACTGGCCATGCTTGGGATGGAACTTTAACCCCGAGATGAGGTTCACATGAGCTGGGATTGTGTAGAGACACTTGGACTGTCTCAGATCCCATATCTTGGCTACATTATCCTGTCCTCCTGTTGCAATATGATACCTAATACACCACACCAAAACATTAAAATGTCACAGCTTTATTCTCTTGATGAATGACAGTTTTCTAGTAGCTTACGTCAATAGGAATGTATTCAGTAAAAGCTATGATATAGTTTTCTTTCTTAAAAATTTTCAAATATTGTGATCAGAAGAAAGATCAGTAAAACTTGGTTTACCCATTAATATTGAAGTCAACAGAGAGGATGGACTTATGATGGCCACTGAGGAGCATGATACATTGCCCAGTTCTCAGGTCCCACACTCGACCATATGCATCTAAGCTCCTATGGCAGCAGGAAAAATGAAGAAATCATGATGCATGGCATTCACAGGCTGACAAGTTACAATTTACAACATCTGAACTACTGTGGTGGGGGCAATTGCCCAAATTGAAGGAATAAATATAAGTAGGTCTGATAGGAGCTCACCCAGTGACAGCAACTGAACCATCACACTGGAATGCAATATCATGAACACCCTTGGAATGTCCTTCCTGGTGAAGAACTTCAACCTGAGCTTCAAGATCCCAGAGTCTCCATGAACCATCCTCCACACATGAAGCCAGGAATCTTCCTGATGGGTGGAAATTCACTCTTGAGACACGACATCCTTGCCCTTCCATGTCTGCTATTGGTTCATCACTGCATTAACCAGGAGGCATAGAGGATAATAAAGAAAGTCATTACTAGGCCTGTTGGGATAAAGTTAAACCAAAGTGCACAAAAAAGAAACAGGCAGAACCTTGAACTTATACCTTTCAAGGCTCCAAAGATTTATGCTCCCATCTGTTGCACATGAGGCTAGGTTGATGGCATTCTCCTCTTGGGAGAGAGTAGCCTGTGGATGAAATGTGATGGCACACACATTGCATTCATGGCCCCTCAATGTCTTTAGGCACTCACATTCTGGCACTGACCATAATTTGCACAACCCACTCCTGAGAAGAGATGTGAAAAATGTTATCCAATGCAAATACAGCAATATAGGTCAAGGTATACACAGGTAAGAGAATTCCAGAAAAGGAAATGAGGCTGGATACAAACCATGAAGCAGATGCAAGAATTTCTCCATTTGGTGAGAACTCCACATAGGAAACAGGTCTGGAATCTCCAATCTGACTACCGTAGATGGACAACGATTCTGCCTTTTTCTGAATCTCTTGTCGCCTGGAATTCTTCACTGTCTCTGGTTGTGCCTTTTCTTCTCTTGCTCTTGCCAGTCGCTCCTGTGCTCTCTTCAGGGAATATTCTGGAAGATGATATTGTATAAGATGATGTTGCCTGTCCTACTTAGTAAGAAAATTCCAGTGGATCAATCAAGGTGGCATTGATATCAGACCAACGAGCCAGAGTCGAGCCGCTCGCAAGCTTTCGGGTCCTTCATGATACCAAGTCATCTCTGGTTCTTCCTGCCGTTTCCTCTTGGCATCATCTGATTTTGGCATCCTTGCTGCCTCCTCTCCAAGTCTTCAGCATAAATACAGGATGTAAATATCTGTTCTCCATTTAGGGATGGCAACACTATCAATGATCATACCTGGAGAGGATATCCCTCAGTCGATGTCTCCTATCACCTGGTCCTTCCCCAAAGAGGCAGATGGGATGGCCAAGGTGACGCAGCTGAAGCTTCACCTGCTCATCATCTGTTGAAACTTGAATCTGACGAGCTCGCTTCCGCCTCTCAAACTCCTCCAAAACAGCTTTCCTCTCATCTGTCTCTAGAGCTCCTTCCAGCTCCATGTACTCTACATTGCAGCAGAAGCAAGGTTTTATACTATGATCCATTTCACTCAAACCTCCAGATACCTCCAACAGTACATTGTGAGTTTCTTGGTTGACTAGAGCATACCAATAGTGGAGAACAAAACCGTAAAAATCTTGATAAATGGTGGTCAAGGGTAATCTTTTCCTTTTCTTTTCAAGGGTTATCTATCTAGTTTTTACTGGTGGAATGGAAAAAAAAAAGTTTTCACCTGAAGAATTCCCAGTTCCAGTATCCTAGTCACTAGGCAACACACACTTCTGCTTGTGGCAGAAGACTCTAAGAATCATCATGGGATTGAGAAAGAAATCTGCCACATAGAGTGTAGAGACTAACCTGAAGAAATGTTAATGTGACCTGAAGTGTCCTTCTTTCTCATTTTGATAGAGGGCTTATGGGCATCCTCCCCTAGTGGATATTCCTCTTCTTTCATTTTCTCTCCTTCTCTATGATCACCCTGCCTCTCATCCTCACTCTCACTCTCTTCCTCAGTGCTTGCATCACCCTGCTGATATATGCATCCCAGATAATCCACTCAGTCTCTGTGTCAACTGAAAGATGTTAAGGGTGAATCTGGGCTCACAAGTTTCTCTTGAGCCAGCCGCACTCGCTCTCCTTCTTCCAAAGATCCATAATGCACAACACGTCCTTTGGGCAGGCGCAGCTCACCTTCACTTTCTTCATCTGACATCTTTGGATTCAGAGCTTCATAAACTCAACTTTGTAGAACAAGAATAAAAAATTCATATTCAGAAATACATGAAACACAAAGTCTACATGTGTTATGTGAAATAGTTGCTGATTGGTAAAGGCCATAAAAGGATGTTTCCAGTGGAAGAAAGGTCTTCCACTGGTGGCTTCCATCTTGGGACATTTGAAAATTCTCTGGCAACAAATAATTATTCCAATGAATTCAAATAAAAATTAAACTAACATTTAAGTTTCTGAATATTGCAGGTCCACAGGAAGACCTGATTCTATCATATCAAAGTACCTTCAAGATGAGATGAAAGAAACAAAGGGCACATGTTTAAAGTCAGAATTCTGATGGAGTCTGCTGCACATAATCTCGTTCTGTACTTCCAGGTAACAGGGTTAGGATGAATGCTCAACTCTCAACATTGCAGCGTTGCACCATAATTGGCAACCACCAAGGACCACATGTGGAAAATTCTGATGAAACATGAAATAGTCAAGTTTACCCTCTCCTTTGCAGTGTCATTCTACTGACATGTTTTTCCTCACTCACATACCCCATTTCCATCTTGGTAGGCTCAAGCAGCCCTTAACATCTAGAGTTTCATCATAACATCTTCAGACAACCTCATCTGTGATCAGCCAAACAAGCATGAAGAAAAGCATCTTCTATGACGAGTTCAATGCTACACGTGAGAGGTTAATCCATCCCAAGGACAAGGCCTGAGCATAAAATAACATTCCAACAGTGACTGGCTGTCAGGAAAGAGCTATCCTGCCTGCAGGCAGACTGTCTAGAGGAAAAACTCAAACGCCAGAAGGACCCCAGGAATTCTGACTCTAGATGTGTGCCCAATATCATGATATGCATTCAACAAATAGTCTTCTTTCACCTTTTGCCAAAATAGACACTAACAACATAAACAAAAAGGGCAATGAAGTTGTATTGGCTATTCCATTTCCAAGTTTACCTATCCAAATCATAAAGGAAACCACCCTTAAGTGAGGCACCCTGATAGTCACAGATGAGAACACAATAAGGGCACAACTGCATTTGGCTGAAGTCACAAGATTCCTTAAGCAAATGATGCCCAGAGGCAAAAATCTATAATCTGAATGATGACCTTTGAGAGTCATTATTGTGAGGATCTCCAGATTTCAACAGAGTTTCTCAGTTCAGTTTTTATACCAGTGTGTGCAACCCCCAGAGAGTTCACTAATAGGGTCTTGCAGCTGGTCTGGATTGGTGTCAAAGGAGTAAATCAATAGCTAGTCTGTGCATGAGCTCTTATCAGACATCAACAGAAATACGTCCATATGTGTGACAGTGCTCAAGAAATGAAGAATTTTGAAGGTTCTCCAACTTACCAGAGAAAGCAAGCATGAAAAGAAGCAGCATCAGAGAGCAAAACTTGAGAGTAATACATGAAAATTCTACAAACATCTGGACAGAGTACTACAGGAGTTGCGATAACAGCATCATACAAGCGTTCTAAATCATTCTTGATCATGGGAAGAATGGATGATTCAGGAAATGTATTTTCATAAGAGATAAATTTTCAGGTCCTTCCTTCTCACAGTTTTATTTTGTGGAAGACAGATTTCAGCACATTGTTCTATAAAGCTAACTCAAGAGTGACTTATGCACCAGAGTATATTCATCACATGATAGGAGAACAACAATTATATCTCTAAAATTTAAGAAATTTACTCTCTTGCATGACTCCTCAACAATGGTTTTAGTTTAACAAAAATCTTAGCCTGCATACAATGTAAAAAAAAACGTAAATATTAAAAATATAAGGCCTTAAGAACAAATTTTTTTGCAGGAAACACTGATTATTGTGTCAGTATGAAACCACTGAAAGGATATGATAGCAATGAGACTAGAGTTTACAACCAAAATATTGCTCATGATTGAAGGTCAGGATGAAAACAGGACGATATATCCATTAATCAGAACTTGAAGAGGAAGATGATGAGGAGCCCCCATGATGTTTGAAGCCTTTGTGCATGGCATAACCCACACCTCCAACTGCAGCTATAGGGAGGCCATACTTCAAGGCTTTCTTCTGAGCCTTTCTCTGCTTCTTCAGACCTTTCTATGGAATACGAATAAAATGATGCAGAGATGGTTGATAAAAACCTCACATAACTAGGCCAGCAGAGGGGTTTTCTGAGTGAAAAACAAGTAGGTTGATGCAATACTCACAGGACCCATTAGTGCAGCTCCTGCCAATCCAGCAGCACCAAGTCCTGCAGCTGGATACATTGGATTCATCCCCATGTGTTTTCCTTTCTAAAAAGCAAATATGTGACACCATGAATGAAAAAACTAAAGATTGCAAAAAACATATCGAGTGAGGCAAAAAAAAAACAAACATGCCACTCTTTGAAATTTTGCGGTGCCTCTGAAACAGCAGTTAAAACAACATTTCTTTCATACACATATATTCTTCAAGTATCCGAAAATTTTGGCCATTTATCTCTAGCCGTTTTAGCACACACGATTGATTTTACAAAAGCAACTGGAATTTCATATTTGCACTTGCTCCTGGATGCTGATGATAGGATCTGCGCCACTCACTCAGAATGATGATTCTTTTCAACATTTTTTTTCTTTGCACTTTGCATTGACAGAATTTGCGAAGCTGATCTGACTTGTGTCTGGCAATTTGCAGATGGTAACTTTGCATCCTATGATTCATCTAGAGAAAAAATGACTTCTTCCACATGAACGCAGATTCCTTCACTTCTGATGAGTTTTAGACTTCCGCTCCTTTGCTTTCTCTCAAATGAACCGGTTTCTTGCAGCTTGTGAAACAATCTCTTCACATAGGTCTACAGTTCTTTCATCCTTTACCAGGAAGTTCTTGTGAAATTCTGCCCCACCCCACTCTTTCGCAAAGAGCAGCATTTTCATAGGCAGACGGAGGAGCTCTGGTTTGAGATTAGTGCGCTCCATGCATACCAATTACTCTTCCACCTATATGTTTCCTTGCACAAAAACAAAATTCTAGCTGCAATCGTGGTTTTCGCTCCTGCACTAAAACGACTGGAGAAAAATGAACAAGAATTTTAGGACGTTTAAAGAATACGTTCAAAGTCGTTGCAAATAAATCTTTGCCGTGTTACCTGCTATCTCAAACTCTAAAGAATCTGAAAGAACGATGCGGTTTTTTTGCACATTTGCCTCACCCAGTACAAGCCTACTCAGTACTCACAGATCCCATTAGTGCAGCTCCAGCTAGTCCAGCAGCAGGATACATTGGATTCATCCCCATGTGCTTTCCTGTTTTCTGGGAGGAAAATATTGGTGATAAAAATGTAGGTAAGAAAGAAAGAGAAGCTCCAAATAAGACATATGATAATGTGCCTCACATAGGCAAGAGCAGGTCCCAAGATTCCTGAAACAGCAGATGTTGCAGTATTCAATATTCCTGCTTTACTATGATGTTGTGAGTTTGGATATGATGGATTTCCAGAAGTCCCATGCTGGAAATGAGAACAGGTCACATTGGGAAACATTAAAAATCCAATTTCAAAAATGTTGAACCATGACCAACATGTGAAATGTCTCATACAGAACCTAATATCTAGGCTTGAAGAAACAAAAGATTGTGAAAAAGAGGCACCAACAAGGAAGGGATACAGTGAGTCAATGACTCACACGGCCTAAAGCTGAGCCAACAACACCACCCACAGCAGCAGCAGCCATTCCCAGAATTCCTCCTTGTCCACTTTTACTCTGATGATGTGAGTAACTTGAGGTCTGCAGAAGCCATGAGAAGTTACTGCTAAAGTTCATCCAGTGAATGTGGGCTGTTCCAATATGACATACTGTGATTAAACTGCTACAGCCTCAAAATTATACTTCTAAGAGCATGCATGGAGAGTAAACAAAATACCGAAAAGTCATGCCTGCTTTTAAAGTAAAATATCCAGGTCATGCTACAATCTTGAAGGAAAGTATGAAGTCCCAATAAAAGAAATCAATACTATGACAGATACATGTGCAAGTCATCTACAGCTACAAGAAGCTTTGCAATCCTGATGCTTCAAGGCAAAGATTAGGAGTGTAGTGAAATGCAGTGGCAGAACACATCTCCAACCAAAACCAAACCCATAGGACTACAAACACTGCAACATGGAGCTGTAACCTATCACTAAAGTCCACAACAAAAGACAACCACAACACCATCCTGAGAATGAGTATATAGCACAGATTCATAGATAACATAGGGATGCAAAAAAGGACAGAATGAAAAGCAAAAGATAATACTTATTTTGCAAATAATGGATGGGAAAAAAGATATGACAGCCATAGCAAATGCACATATTTGTACTGCATCTACATGAGCATAAATAACAACTCACTGTAGGGTAACCAGGACCTTGAGATGGATATCCCTGAGAACCAGATGACATAGGGTATCCAGGACCTTGAGATGGATATCCTTGAGAACCAGATGACATAGGGTATCCTGGTTGTGGAGGTGTCAGTCCTGATGAGGATGGATAAGGGGAATAGCTAGGATATGGAAGTGGGCCTGAAGGAGGCATTCCAGAATAATTGAGGGGTGGAGGAGTTGATCTGGGTCTGTCAGGTCTATATGCTCCTTGACTGTTGTCATATTGTATGAGTCTTACACTCATGTCTCCATCCATTGATAAATATCCCACCCTTTCTGGAGGTATACGGTGCTGGAATTCAGTGAAATGACTCCCATTCACAGCCACCTATTTTTGATAAATAAAAGGTTATGCTTTACAAAGAGCTTCCTGAAATAAATACAATAATAAGAAATGGTAGGATGAAATTCAAATATTCTATAAATACTTTTTCTCAAGTTGAAAATAATAGGCTTACATTTTATTTTCATTTCAAAATAAGTTTTCTGATGCTAATTCTATTTTAATGAGTTTGAAGGGAAGAAAATTAAAAATAGTTATTTAAATAGAGAATAGAGATGGAATATGCATCTCTATCATCCAACCTTAATAGTCTTGAATCATGGTATCCAGAGTGTAGAATAAGTATCATGTGCACAAAGTTCTCCACATCAGACAGCATCGCATTACAATTGGTTCAACATGATTTATGAAATGAGACCAGTACAGGGCATAAGGAAACCTTTTTCTCCCCTATACATGACACATTGGAGGAAAGCAGTATTTTAAACATATCAATTCCTTTCAAGAAGGAATAATTCCAGTAATCAATCATATGTATATTGTCCCTAACTGCCTTATAGCTCTTATTCTGTTGAACTCTGCATAAATGACTACATGACTCTTGTTCCAGTTTGCCTGAACACATTCCTCTGACCTTCCAATCTTTCTTGCAATCTAGGTCTTGTTGATGAAGTCAGTGCCATGTCTCATGCCTGATGGAGGCAATGGTGGGAATTGTACATCATGCCCTGGTCAGTTCACTCTCACTTAACTTTCCAGCCATAGCACTTAGATATATGAAATTAGAGACTTAAATCCTTTGTTAAACAAGGAAATCAAAGGTACTACTTTTTAGCTGTACGTGTCCTAGTCCAGTGGCTAGGGGGGGGGGGGGAAAGAAAAAGGTTTACTTAACACCCTGTACAAGAGTGATGAAGAAAAGGTCTACTTTCCTATGGAACCACAAAAATAAAAATCACAAGATTCCATATTTCCAGTCAATCATATGCCAGCATGAAATCTAACAGGAGAACACACTAGAACTGGAAATTTCCCTGGTTCCAATTCCCCCCCTCCCCCCCCCAATTACCACCACCCTTCATCATATCCCTTTTTCATCTTTTGTCTGTGGTGAAACCTGGATATCCATCATATCCTTTTCACAAACCCCAACAAAAATTATTTTGTGTTCTTTGGATTAAACAAAATAGAATGTGAACATGGTCATAGGGGAAGAGGAACAGCTGCTACCCCTTCCCCCTCACCACCTCTGGATCTGCCACTGGCTGGCCATGTGAGAAGACAGGGAAGGGCAAAAACACCCCTACATTCTCTAAGGTCTGCTTTTCTGCTTTGCTAATCATGGCAAATGCAGAGGGGACAGAGAACTGATGCCAAGTGAAAATGAAGGGCAGCCCAAACATCAAGGTGTTAACTTTGAATTGTTGCCTTCAAGGCTAAATGCCATTGACTATGAACCATGGACAACAGAAAATTGCATTATATAGAAGATTATATATAAAAATTGATGAATTTTTACTTTATGGAGGCTAGAAACTTGTCATACCATGGACAGGTGCTGGTCATGCATTGCTTAAAATGGAAATAAATCCAATCATTTCATGAAATATTAGCAAAAGGTCTGGTTGAGGAAAGACACTCTAATAAATGGTATACCTGATTTCCAAGTGGGGGAACACTTATCTCCCAGTAAATAAAAGGATAGTGTTAAAAAACAAATGAATCACCCTGAATTTAGACACAATACCAACCTGGTCTACATCAAAAGAATGTCTAGAAAAGCAACTTACCTTATACTGACTTCCCTCACAGAGAATTAAGACCTCAAAGGGTGCATTTTGGGCAAAAGGGAAACCACCATGCCGCTCTTCAGGACCCCACATCTGGTTCATGAGACTGTTGCGTATTATGCAATTCTGATCAAAGTCCACGCCAAAATGTAGAGCCAAGTCATCTCGAGGATTCACATTGGGGCCACACTGGAGGTTGATGGCAAATCTGAAATGAAAGGGTAAGGGCATGTACAGTATATCTATCACACCCTAAGGTACTTTCTTATGCTAATATTTCCTCTAGAAGATGTAATATGCATTACTGGCATGCTCTCCTAATCTACAACCTAATACACATGTTCTACACTCTGCATGCTTCACTAAGCAGGATCTCATAGCAGTCATCAGTCTCACTGACACTCATGGTTATCATGATTATGAGTAATTATTTCAACTTAGCCCAGGCAACTTCCACACATCACAAGCCCCAGAAATCTCACCGATGTGCATAGGGAAGAGCTTGTCCATGGATACGGACCATATTCCCATGTAAAAGTCCACTGCTGATGGGACCACAAAAAGGGATTCCCTGTGAAAGAATACATGATCAATCAATCCAAATTCATAGATGGCCAATCAAATTTGCATGAAACTAGCCTATCTGATGCATAAATCTATCCTTAATTTAACTAATCAAAATGGAGAGTAATTCCAAAGTTGTGGAACACAGAAAACATTGTTAAAAAGAAAGTGGCAAGAAATCACCAAACTTTATAGAAATTAAGCTGAGCACACTTGAGTACATATAATTCAAAATTACCAACTAAAATGACTACCATGTTCTTGAGTGCTCAAATACATGTAATGTTGCAAATTCTCTGCCACAAGTTGCAAGATGTCCTGGGGACTAGGGTGTTGTAATAATAGCTTCTAATTTGTTGCCTTGCATAGTCTGCAGATGACATGGGTTATTAATATTGAGCTTGCTTTGCAGGTTACCTTATAAATGGAAGTCAGATCATGGGAAGTCTGCAGACTTTAGGACCAAAGACCTTTGAAAATTACTGTCATCAAAGAAATCTTGAAGCAAGGACTATATCATATCAGTGGTACAGCATGTTGCCCCATTTGTAAGGGCCACCTTTTTTTCTTTCTTTTTTTTAATCTGAAACCATCTATCCTTTAGTAAAGTTTATAAATGAGCAAGGTCAATATCAAAAACCCACCACAATCAGCAGACTATTTAAACTAACAACACAGAAGTTATTGTGATGATACTCCAGGACACCTTAGAGCTTGTGGCAAAGAATATACAGCATTGCATGCATTTATATGCCAAAGAACAAGGTGACAGCTTTCAGCTCTTTTTATCAGCAGTATACTCAAGCTTTTTTGTGAACATGCTACATATATTTTAACTACATTCCATTTAAATATTGTCATGTATGTATGCATGTGTGTCACATTGTTCCCATGTAACATTTTCCAGAGATCACATAACTTTGGAGTAACCCTCTATGGTAGCAGTACAATTTTCCACAAAAGTCAACACTAATTCATTTTAAAATTAGGCCCAAAGGTCCCATAGTCAAAATAACAAAACCAGATTCTTCTCCAATAGCAGGGCTACATATATGAGCAAAAATGGAACATGAAAAGAGATTTAATATCTGAGAAGCTCAGTGACCAGTAACACAGCTTGATTATTTACTACATTCTTGGCACCATCAAAGTACTTACATTGATCAAGAACACTTCTAGAGTTAAAATGCCTTCACAATAAACAGACTCCTCACAACTGTATGCCATATTGAGCCAAACAATGGTACCAACAGCCAACAGTAGACCTAAACAAAATAAATTCCCATCCTTTCCTAATTCAAACTGATGGCTTGCATGATACATTCTCAACTATTTGAAATAAGTTGGGTAACCCATATGGAAAGATCATACATGGTAGTTATATGCAATTATCTGTACCTTATAAATTCATATATTTTTCATGTATTGAAATATGAACACACCTATATTATGGCATATATGATTGAAGCATTTATCCATACAGGGTTTTTCCTATATTTAATAGACCTGGACAGCATACATATTCTATATAAAATAATTCTGCAGTTTGAGGGACGGGCTTCTGCATACATGACATATCTGGTATATAGAATGTTTATTGTATTTACATGTTTAGCATGCATGCTTCCATAGTAAAATATATTGCTAGAAATATATATCCCATATGCATAAGGTATAGTATACAATTTACATGCTATCGTCATACCTACATAGCATGGTGACATCCCAGGGATGTCCCAAACTGAATGACTTGTCCCAAGGTCTATATGGGATATTTTAAGGACATCTTAAAAGGGATGTCTTCAGGACTTCTTAGAAGAATGCAATACAAAACAACCTTTCAAAAATAAAGGGTTATCATCAGTGGCGGCTCGTGGGTAAAAAAATTTGGTAGGCAGCAGTGGTGCAAAAAAACGTGGGGGGGGGGGGACAGTCACCCCCAATGATTCCTTTGCACCTATATGATCCCCATTTCTATCCCTATTGACCAATGGAGCGTCCTCCTATGATAGTAGCAGGCACATTCGCTCCTCTCTCAACCTCACTCAGCATCCCCTCCCCCACCCACCACTCTCCAGTTTCTTCTGAGGGTCACCCCCATGCATAAAACTGTAGAATAAGTCTGATCAGGTGTGACAACCACAGTGGAAGCCTCTACAAGCACGTGCTTCTGAGCAGAGGGCGTGAGCAAGCGATTCTCAACCTTCCTTCCTGCGCAAGGAGTAACCGCGCACCGTAGGCAAGCCTACCCTCACTCATTCCAGTGTTGTGGTTCTCTTCCCTTTCTCCCTCCTCTCGTTCCTGCATTGGACCCGTGGGAATTCGAGCCTAGCCAGCGTAGGCAGGCAGCACCGTGCCTACTCTGGACGCATAATCTTGTTTTGCTTTTACCTTGCAATGGAAAAAAAGTATTTCCAGCTGTGCTAATCGAAGAATTAAGAAGCAAATATTAATTTGAGAACTCTGATTTTAAACTGGGTAGGCACTGCCTACCCTGACGAGCCGCCACTGGTTATCATGTATAGCAGGAAATGAGTCTGTTTCAGAAAGATATGCAACCAGATATTTAATATCGCTGCAAAGCCACTAGGAGTTATCTCTGGGACTTCTCACTTGTCCCAAGGAGATATCTCTTGGACATCTTTGGGATGTACTTCTGCTGTGTTGGAAGTGAATGGTTTTAGTATTTTCATCAAAGTGATGGATGAAGATCCAATTCTCAGCTTGGTTCCTAAATTATTATTATATTTTTTACAATTGGGAGAAACTTGTGAGAGCAACATGATTTTGTGTATGTTTCATACCTGGTTTGGTCATGTCTCTTATAAGGTGTGACATATATGCCCCATTACGTACTAGATTGAAATACTAAGTCATACAAGTATCTAATCTGCTCCTCTATATCTTACATACATATAAAATTATTAAATGGTCTTGCATAGATGATTTTTCAATATGGGAAGGTGACATGGTATTTTGGTTTCATAAGGTATTTCATCACTTTTTTCATTAATTTTTTTATTTTCATGCAGTTGTCATGTCATGATCTTCAATGACCATTCTAATCTATTTATATTTCACATCTTGTAGCAAGATTGGATTATAGATCGAATGCATGCATGTCATTTTTTTGGTCAGAATGACAAAAATAAAGGCATTCAAGTGACTCAGATTTCCTGATGTGTAGAGCTTCTTTGTTCATCCATATTAATCCTTCAGTTGGAATCCTAGGTATTCCACAGCAACTATTCGAGTAACATATACATTATTAGGTTTCAACCTTAGACAATTCGGGTAGCTATTGGATATGAAAACCATAATTCAACAGGCCTTTTATTCATCTCAGCAAAGCTTCATTCATTCCTCAACAATATTTGCAAATTATAATACATAAATACCATTTGCCTCAGACCTCAAGTCTATGCAAAGCAACATTCTGACTGTTGCAGACTTTGTCAGAATGTTGCAAAGCAACATTCTGACAAAGCAACATTCTAACAGAGAAAATCTGAACCTCTCAATATGCCAGTTATCTCTTCTCCCTGATGATCCTTCCAGAAGCAATATTTCAGTCAAGATTGTCAAAATAGATACTTTGCTTGTTTCTCTCATAATGTTTTCCACTTCAGTCAGATAATTTTTCCCTTGACTAAGAGACTAGTGAATGAGATGGTTCAGGTGTCTAAGTTGCATGAAAAACTGTAACTAAAATGAAAAACATCAGCATCGCATTATCTCCCTCTCATTTAGTTGATTGCATAACCTAAGCGAGCTTACTGAATTTGGGCAGAACGCGCCATGACTTTTATTAAAATGGATACTCAGCAATATCTTGCAATAAGCCTATTAGGCCTGGTTGATCGAGTTGTCTCAACTCACTGGGCTGTGAACTTCCATGGTGAAGACGACACTGAAGCTGATTGAAGGTCTACGAGGCTAACTACTAGGGGCAGAGCTCACGAATCACGCGACCAAGCACAGCGTCAGGCCTGACCGAGTCCGCAGGAAGCTTGAAGGCAACGCGGAAGGGTGTTCATACAGTACCCATACGTGGAGCACTACGCCTCTACTGTACATACAAAACACTTCTGATTCGCAGAATATATCCTATAGTCATAGGCCCACTTCTGACCGCGTCGAGTACTGCTTGCCCACGAAACCGGGATGAAGAGTCCATCTGTACTTGAGAATGGCAGCTATAGTAATATTTATGCCTAAATAGAGAGCGCGCCAACGGGCCTTCCAAACCCTTAACTGGAAGTCAATAAAAACGTGCGCGATACTCGGAATCAACTAAAAAGCAATCCTTTTAGCAGGAATTCTATCTCACATTTCATGCGGATCATGAGTGACCCATCGGCAACATCGTGATATTGCCGCCAACCGTATTCCAATTCTGGCCCATATACAGTACATGGCCAGAGTAAGTGCTTGGTTCCACTTCCAGAAATATTCCGTTTCTACGTAGGCCTCTAATGGCCTGTTAGAAGAAAGATCAAACCGTTAATTTGCCTACTGTGTATTCGGATTGAGCGATTTAACCTCAAACCCCCCCCGATCATACGAGAGTCACTCAATAAGTTATCTACCTGAATAAGAAAGAAACATCCGAGGGGAAAAATAACACTTTATTTTTCACCGACTTAGTGATACTGAAACAGAAGAGGAAGAAGATGACAACGATGATGAAGAATCTGATGCTCAGGATGATGATGAAGAGGAAGAGTATGATGCTGATGGCAGTTTTGAACCTAGGGCAAGCAGTCCAATCGATGTCTTCATGAACTGAAGTATTGCCCAATTCTCCAAAATCTCGTCCTTGGTGTGCCTAGTTAGGACCTGCCTATGCCCTCAGATTCAGTGCAGTAATCTTGTGGTTGTCATAAGGCATATGTGAAAAAAGCAGACAAAAAACTAATTCTTGCAAAGATTAATAAGTGTGATTTCCAAAATGTTTGTATTGGCGGAGATGAAGCATGCAGTGCGCATTCCACCTTGGAATTTCAATCTGAAGCTGACAGAGGCAGTAGTGAAGGAATTGAACAAGAAGCTTGCAAATACAGTGAGTCTACTTCCTCTCAAAGCCTACTTGTGCTTAGAGACTTAGCTTATGTAATTACTGGCTTAGCATGCAGTCAGTATTTTCTAATTTGTTGGAATTGCACTGTTGATTGACCTCTTGACAAGCAGCAGCATTATGAAGTTCTAGCTAGCTAAAAAAAATGTATTACTTATGTCATTGTTCAACCTTTTGAAACTATAGATTTAATTCTTGGCCACTTCTCCAGAATGGCCAATCTTTCATTGCTTTCCTTGCATCAGCACATAATCTGATACCAGCTTTCAAATTTATTTTCCTATCATTGGAAATATATAATTTATCTTAATAATTGTCTGCTCAAGCTGAAATTCTCCACAGTCTCTTGTGATGGGNTGTTGCTCATCCCTTTCATATTCAGGTAGATAACTTATTGAGTGGCCCTCGTACGTACAGTCAACCGCCTTATTGCCTTATCTCCCCCACAGGTGACGATTAGGATCTCAAAGAGTCTCTGGAGTATTATTGATAACAGCACCATGGAAAGGGGATTGGTAGGGAAAAGTCTACACCAGTGATGAGCAACCCGCGGACCGCGGGGCTTTGCCAACATAATTTTTTCCCTCTGTCATCTGCCATCCGGAGTAGAGCGCACGTGCGCTCCAAGGATTCCGCTACCCACTGCAGGAGATGTGGAAGCAAGAAATAAAACATTTCTCTATATATATAAAGAAGAAAGTTTGTCTCTCTGTCTGTTCCTTTATGCATTCGGACCCCGCAGGAGCCAGTGCAACCAAACTTTGCATGTCCTCTTTCATCCAGGGGAAGGTCTAGGACTATGTTTCGATCCAAAATGTTCACTCCCGGAGTACTTTTCTGGGGTACTGTAGTGTCTGGGATGGCATGGAGAGGAATGACCGACTACTGGCTTCGGTGGTGCAGTGGTAGTACACCTGACCGGCGATCAGGAGGCCCGGGTTCGATTCCCGGCTGTCTCCTTTCGCTTTCTCATCCTCTCATGCCATCCAACTCTCCCCTCCCGGCCACCTGTTTTACAACCCGGGGAAATCCCATTGCCCGATCACTACAGTAGGTAGTAAGTAATACTCTTTTGATCAAGTTTTCATCGAAAATATGTTTCAAAGCGATAAAAAAAAAACATTTTACCAAAAAGTTTTTTTTTTTTACTCCAAAATAATTTATAAATTATTCAAAGGGTTAAAAAAAAAAGTTAAAAAGGTGAAGGGGTCCGAGCACATTTTGCGACACCCAAGATCGATAACGTATTAAACCATAAGGCTGACGTTCCCCAATTAGTCATCCATGAAATATTTGAATATTGAATTTCCCCGGGCAACGCCGGGTACTTCAGCTAGTAAGCTTTATTTCCGCCATAGCTGCAAATATCCCCTCACTCTCTTCTTGGTCAATTTATCACTGCTCTCTGAGCAAGCGGTTTCCTAAGTTTTTTTTGCTCAATAAAAAGGAGGAAAGGTCTCAATTAGTTATTTGCATATCATTAGCATGTACATGGTTTACTTAGCCAGGCTTAGGACTATTTTGGTACTCAGTAGGCATAAAGCCTGTAATTCAGTATTTTAAAAAAATGCATGCGGCCCGCTGGGAACCTAAAAGGTACACTTGCGGCCCGCAGTCAGGAAAGGTTGCTCATCACTGGTCTACACCGTTTACGGATTGAATTCGTACCTCCCCTGGATTGTGGAGAAAGGAGAAAGCACTACTTCCAGAAGACCCTCTCTTTCCTCCAGGCCTCTGGTGGTATCATCCTTTACATTATTTGTTTCGAATGAGATAGAGCTTTGATTTGTCAATTGCTGCAGTGAATAGAATCCCGCTCGTGATAATGTTTTTTGGAGATTGGAGAAATGTGCTTTTGAAATCGTTATGTGGAAAGTGCGAGTTACTCCTCCCCGTGGGAATATGTGATGTGATATTTCTTCTGGGTCCCGATAATCAAAGCTCAAAGTGGAATTTCAACGTTCGTGTGATGGATACTCGTTTTATTTTTATTTTTTTTTTTATAAATAAGAAAGAAGGATTTGCAATCGCTGAGGATAGGGAATGTCAGAAAGTCCATAAATCATTTTAATGATTCTTCGTTAGATTCTCAATCTCAACGATGTCGTGTAAGAACTATGGGTGCGATGTTGCTGTTTTATTCTAATATTCGACAAGTAAAGCTTTCACCCTTCCGTTACTAAGGGGGGCCCGTCTGTAACCCACGTTAAACTAATGGTTTTTAAGTAAAATTAATTTAAAAAATTTATTTGTGCTGTTTTTTAAGTGTGATAAATATGCACTTTCGATATAACCAGGGCAAAAATTATTTTATTAGGCTGGGGTACTCCAAGTACCCCCCCCCCCCCTCAGGAAAAGTGACCACTTACGAACTCAATAACAGAAGTGTTAATAAAGAAAGAGAATGAAGTCAGGGAAACGAGAGAAGGAACTCACAAGTATTGAAGGGACTGAGGTTGCCTTTTCGGCAATATTGGTGGCATTACTTTTCCTTTTCTAGTTCTGTTAGGTGTTACTCCCACGTCTCTTTCTTCGTCGACATTCTCTGCGTCATTTCCATACAGTTACAGGTTTGTAAGCTTCATTCTTCCGAATTTCACAAGGTGACACTTTCAAGGGTTGAATTTCCATGACTATGTTCGCCATTATTTCGTGAACCAAATACAATAATATGTTTCAGATTTGTGCTGTATCCTTCATTGCTTGGTACAGTCAACGAAGACAAGCGCTGATGCGGATACTATCGATATAATGTTCATGACGTCACTGAAATGTCAAGGTCTCGGAACTGATGCTTCTGCGACTCCGAAAGAACTTGCTTCCTCTTAGATTTTGTCTCACGAACTTATTCAGCTGTCAATTACTAAATATCAATCGTTACAGGGTTATAACTAATGCATCAATAAAAGAAAAATAAGAAAACTTAGTCATGGGGAATATTTTGGAAGGAATTCGACTCATGATGATATTCCTCATTGAAGGGAAAGTGGGGTATTACCGAACACCTTAGGAAAGTCAATCTAGCCAGGAATAGTGATTTGAGCCGTACTTTAAATCAGTTTCTGTTTGTTAAAGAGTTGTAGTTTTGAAATAAAAGACAAACTCTTTGGCTACTAAGAAGCGTTTTTAACAAAAGCAATGCTAAAAAAAATGCTTCGTTTGGATTTACCTCAGTAGGTGGGGTAAATCCGAACATTGGGAGAACAAATCTGAGCCTCTAAATTTATTTATGAGCAGAAATTGCACACGAATCCCATGGAAGTGCAGGGGGAATCCCCTTGGTACACTTTCGTGTGTCTACTCCTAAGCGCGGGTCTCATTACCCAGTGCTCAAATTGTCATTTTCGTAAAACATAACTTTTGTTAAACACTCCTGTCAGTTGCCAACGAGTTTGTCTTGATTTCAAAGCAGCATGTTTCGAAGTTTAGATAAGAAGGGAAAAACGGCGACGTTAATATTCCAAAACAACCCACATGGCCTTGTTGCATTATCATCCTTGCATGATTATATTCCGAAGCTGGCGTTGTAGTTACTATGGCGATACGGTCAAACTTTTTTAAAAATGGTTTTCCACTTCAATTACTCAATGAGGATTCTCTTCAATTACTCTCTCCGGACTACTTTCTCTTCATGCGGGACTTGCAGTCCCGCACGGCGCGCACGGAATGTCATCCTTTATCTCGTCGCGTCCATTTGGGCGCACATAAGTAAGATACAAAGGCGTAGGATCGCCTGTACCCCACGCGACCAGTAATGGATTAAAGATTTCGACTCCAATTTTTCTTTCTTTTTTTTTGTACTTGCCAAGCACCTGGAAAG